GGTTAACATGGCCACCCCGCTGATACCGAGGGCTTTATACCTGGAATCACATCAGGTGAGTTGGGTTAACATGGACACCCCACTGATACCGAGGGCTTTATACCTGGAATCACATCAGGTGAGTTGGGTTAACATGGCCATCCCACTGATACCGTGAGCCTTATACCTTGAAACACATCAGGTGAGTTGGGTTAACATGGACACCCCACTGATACCGTGAGCTTTATACCTGGAAACACATCAGGTGAGTTGGGTTAACATGGACACCCCGCTGATACCGAGGGCTTTATACCTGGAATCACATCAGGTGAGTTGGGTTAACGTGGACACCCCACTGATACCGAGGGCTTTATACCTGGAATCACATCAGGTGAGTTGGGTTAACATGGCCATCCCACTGATACCGTGAGCCTTATACCTTGAAACACATCAGGTGAGTTGGGTTAACATGGACACCCCACTGATACCGTGAGCTTTATACCTGGAAACACATCAGGTGAGTTGGGTTAACATGGACACCCCGCTGATACCGAGGGCTTTATACCTGGAATCACATCAGGTGAGTTGGGTTAACGTGGACACCCCACTGATACCGAGGGCTTTATACCTGGAATCACATCAGGTGAGTTGGGTTAACATGGCCATCCCACTGATACCGTGAGCTTTATACCTGGAAACACATCAGGTGAGTTGGGTTAACATGGACAGCCCGCTGATACCGAGGGCTTTATACCTGGAATCACATCAGGTGAGTTGGGTTAACGTGATACCGAGGGCACCCCATCTGATACCGAGGGCTTTATACCTGGAATCACATCAGGTGAGTTGGGTTAACATGGCCATCCCATACTGATACCGTGAGCCTTATACCTGGGCTTTATACCTGGAATCACATCAGGTGAGTTGGGTTAACATGGACACCCCACTGATACCGTGAGCTTTATACCTGAGCCTTATACCTGGAACACATCAGGTGAGTTGGGTTAACATGGACACCCCGCTGATACCGAGGGCTTTATACCTGGAATCACATCAGGTGAGTTGGGTTAACATGGACACCCCACTGATACCGAGGGCTTTATACCTGGAATCACATCAGGTGAGTTGGGTTAACATGGCCATCCCACTGATACCGTGAGCCTTATACCTTGAAACACATCAGGTGAGTTGGGTTAACATGGACACCCCATCACTGATACCGTGAGCTTTATACCTGGAAACACATCAGGTGAGTTGGGTTAACATGGACACCCCGCTGATACCGAGGGCTTTATACCTGGAATCACATCAGGTGAGTTGGGTTAACATGGACACCCCACTGATACCGAGGGCTTTATACCTGGAATCACATCAGGTGAGTTGGGTTAACATGGCCATCCCACTGATACCGTGAGCTTTATACCTGGAAACACATCAGGTGAGTTGGGTTAACATGGACACCCCACTGATACCGTGAGCTTTATACCTGGAAACACATCAGGTGAGTTGGGTTAACATGGACACCCCACTGATACCGAGGGCTTTATACCTGGAATCACATCAGGTGAGTTGGGTTAACATGGCCACAGCCACTGATACCGTGAGCTTTATACCTGGAATCACATCAGGTGAGTTGGGTTAACATGGCCATCCCACTGATACCGTGAGCTTTATACCTGGAAACACATCAGGTGAGTTGGGTTAACATGGCCATCCCACTGATACCGTGAGCTTTATACCTGGAAACACATCAGGTGAGTTGGGTTAACATGGCCACAGCCACTGATACCGTGAGCTTTATACCTGGAAACACATCAGGTGAGTTCGGTTAACGTGGACACCCCACTGATACCGTGGCTTTATACCTGGAATCACATCAGGTGAGTTGGGTTAACATGGACAGCCCGCTGATACCGAGGGCTTTATACCTGGAATCACATCAGGTGAGTTGGGTTAACATGGACACCCCACTGATACCGAGAGCTTTATACCTGGAATCACATCAGGTGAGTTGGGTTAACATGGCCATCCCACTGATACCGTGAGCCTTATACCTTGAAACACATCAGGTGAGTTGGGTTAACATGGACACCCCCACTGATACCGTGAGCTTTATACCTGGAAACACATCAGGTGAGTTCGGTTAACGTGGACACCCCACTGATACCGAGGGCTTTATACCTGGAATCACATCAGGTGAGTTGGGTTAACATGGACAGCCCCACTGATACCGAGGGCTTTATACCTGGAATCACATCAGGTGAGTTGGGTTAACATGGCCATCCCACTGATACCGTGAGCTTTATACCTGGAAACACATCAGGTGAGTTGGGTTAACATGGACACCCCACTGATACCGTGAGCTTTATACCTGGAAACACATCAGGTGAGTTGGGTTAACATGGACACCCCACTGATACCGTGAGCTTTATACCTGGAAACACATCAGGTGAGTTGGGTTAACATGGACACCCCACTGATACCGTGAGCTTTATACCTGGAAACACATCAGGTGAGTTGGGTTAACATGGACACCCCCCACTGATACCGTGAGCCTTATACCTGGAAACACATCAGGTGAGTTGTGTTGGTTTAACATGGACACCCCCACTGATACCGTGAGCCTTATACCTGGAAACACATCAGGTGAGTTGGGTTAACATGGACACCCCACTGATACCGTGAGCCTTATACCTGGAAACACATCAGGTGAGTTGGGTTAACATGGACACCCCCACTGATACCGTGAGCCTTATACCTGGAAACACATCAGGTGAGTTGGGTTAACATGGACACCCCCACTGATACCGTGAGCCTTATACCTGGAAACACATCAGGTGAGTTGGGTTAACATGACCGACGTTAATATTCCAGCTTCGCGTATTGTACGTATTGTGTCTGTCTGTGTGTCTACCTGTCTGTCTTAAGATATTTATTAGAAATTTAGCATACATTCAATGTGATGGTAATATCACGTACATAACACACATATATTCAGTCTTTTTTTCATCGTCGTACTTCGAAATGTAAGCCTTTAACTCGGAGAAAATGTTTGTAACAATCTAACGTAAATGTACGTCGGTAACGAAGCATGCAAGTGACAGGAAATTGTTTATTTCAGGGTGTAAAACAGAAACACATAACTAATTACTCAGTCCTCAGGTAAACCGAATCACACCCGTATCCCTGTTGTCACATTTTAGAAAGATGAACACAAAGCGGCTACAAATATATCGTTGTACTTCAAATGTAAGCCTGTAACTCGGTGGAAATAATAATAAGTAATTTGTTATAATTTTAGAAACATTAATGTAGTACGTCTGTAAGTGAAAACATGTAAGTGAAAGGAAATAGCCAAATAAAAGCTATATCTGCTTCTGCTTACTGCCAGAACTCCTCTGCCGCCGTGTGGGCCAGGCTGTCATTGGTTCCCCACCTGTGACTGACGGTAGTGTTGATGTACTCTGTTAGTTTCGAGTTCACATCCGTCCCATTTAACACTGTAGAGTTGCTGACTGAAAGCGAAAGAAAGACGAATTATTACATAATTTTGATGTCAGGTTTTGTTTCCTCTGGAAAGTAAAGGTGAGGTGGGGTGAAATGGTGTTTAACGTCGTACTTAAGAATATTTCGCTCATATGACGACGTGCATGCGTGTGTATGTGTGGCTGCATATACTAGCCCAGACTTAAGCTGTTTTATAGGTTGTTTTTTTTATATTTCACTGAGATACCATGCCGCAGTTGAGCATGGATACCCCACTCAGACACATTATACTGACTCCAAACAATAAGCTACGATGCCATCTGATCGTAATGACGTAACATATTGGGTGGAACTCGGTCACATTTTCTTTGTTAAGCTTTCCACGTGCGTTTTCATTCGTTTACGTTTTTTTATACCAAAAACGTGTAATATATGGTTTAAAATAAGTTGAAATAATCCTTAACTTGAGTAATATATACAAATCTGAAGGACTATTCAGCCCTTATATACAAATCTGAAGGCGCGGACTATTTCCCAAGCCCTTTTGGGCACACGGTATTCTGAGGAATGTTCAATGTTACCCACGTAATTTAGTCAATGCTATAGTTTAAGGCCTGTTGAACGCTATGCCCTTTTGTGTTTGTGCAAGTTTAACTTCATGTTCTTAACACATATTTGTCCTAACATAGGAGTTGTGTTGTACGGTTATATACTGCTTAATACCAAAAAGGTCAAGATATGAATGACACAGTATAACCAGGGAAGGATCTTCTTTTAAACAAATACGTTTGCCTTACGTTTGCTTTGAGACGTCATGCTTGTTTCTATTCGATATTATATTCTAAATAATTTATATTTACAGTCAGACCTCGTTAATACGAACATTTTGGTTTAAAAAAAAACCGTTCGGATAGTGTCAATTATATACAATATATAGGGAGATGATTTGGTGCCCGGTGAGTAGCGTTCGGAAGTCGGTGGATTCGGATTAACGAGGACCGGATTGCCGCGGCCTGACTGTATACAATTGCTGCACACATTCCACACATTAAATGACGGATAATTGAAATCGAGATTGGGACAGGCTTATAAAGCACTAACATCTAGAACGTCCTTTACTCTAAATCAACCACTCATGGGCGTCAGCCTTCCGTAAGACTATTTCAGAATATGAATACACAATGCCATTTCGAAAGTGGTCAAAAATAACATACGTTAATATGGGATTACACTTTCTCAGTAAAGTACAGATTCTAGTACTTTTGTCAAGTTGAGAGTCCCATCCGGGATTCAGGATTCAGGACTCCAGTAGTGAGCGTGGCAAATGGGCGAGATAAGTAGGCGTTGTTAGCAAGGATGTGATACATTTACTCAGTGCATATCAGAATAGGACGTGAATGTGTTTTGTAAGCACATTGACCACCATTGATTCCACTACCGAATGAGGGATATATCTTCAGTTCGTTTTTTTCTTATATTTTGACATAACTTCCTACTTTCAGTGCGTGTATTCACTGACAACGCCAAGGGCACCCTGCAACAACCTTGTGGGAATACATCCTACCTTCAGTTCGTCCTTGGGACATGACTTGCAGGCTTCTCACACAGTTGTCAGTGTTCCACGAGTTGCCACAGTCCGTCCAGGGAAGGACAGCTCGACAGGAGAAGACGGTGTAGTACAGTGCCCACGCGCAGATGGTGGTGTAGTACACGACGGTGCCGGCAGACATAATCAGCATCCCGATCCCAACACCTGATGGAGAAGAATCAGTATGAAGCTAGTATGATTACAAATGCATGTCAGGTCTAGCACCAATGAAGTGGTCATCAAGCAGTAGGGGACACATGAACTTTAAACGTCCACAAATCAGACACGAACTGTTTCGTTCGACCTAACCATACCTTTCATTAGGGGACACAGGCTCCACACATGGGTTGCACTCTTTCCAGAAAACTGTCCCACTGCGACCTCCAGGAAGAACAGAGGAAGGCCACACAGCACCAGACACACAAAGAATGGGATGAGGAAGGCTCCTGGAACAGAGACGCCAATGGAAGCTGTGTTCATTGAGTGACGTTCTTAGCATTATTCCAGCAGTGGTGGAAGATACCAAACAGAAGCATTACACCGATATGCATAGGCGGATCCAGAGGGGGGTGGGAGGATCCTCTCGACTTGACCTTCAAATGACCATTGAAACGTTCGTGAAAACAGTTAAAAATGAACTGAACCCCCTCCTCCCTCCCTTCTGAAATGTGTAGTCTGAATATTTTGTAATTCCACTTCAATACCATTCACATCTACAAGTGCCTGTTGTAGCTGCGTGGCACAGGTCTTGTCAGTAAACAAAAGTTTTCTTCATAAGTAAATACCTCCTCCGTTTCTATTGCAGATATAGGGAAAGCGCCACAGGTTTCCAAGTCCAACACAGTAACCGATCACAGACAAGAGGTAGTCGATCTGTGAACTCCATGCCCCTCTCGCTGATGACTTTTGTATTTCCCCGGAGTCGCTGTTGTTGAACGTTTCAGACAAGGCAATCGCCTCGGCTCCTTTCTCCCCCTTGTCGTTTCCAGAATCCATCACTGAAATATATCATACGCATGGTTTTAAGTCTTTTACATCACTCTGCATAAGCAAATACCGAAGACATCATACCTTATGAGCAGAATAAGAGCACAATAGATGTGATCATATTTATACCAAGGGACCAAAAGCCGGATTGTACACCATTGAAATAAACGCAAATATAGTAGGAAATACATTCTATGACCGGATTTGCGTACGTTTCCCACGATAAGTTTCGGCGCATATTTCATATGCCTCTGCACCTATGAAACATACCGATATTCCAGTATGCACGGGCATCTTTTTATATATGTTTTGACCGGATTTGCAGACATTTCCAACTATAATATGTTTGAGTGGCATTCTAGAAGTTGGTGGTATAGAGATGACAAAACTTTATGGATGATCAAAACTTTATGGATCATCAACTTCTTTATTTTCACAATAGCGAGGTTTCTTCAGCGATATGCTTGAAAACAGTAGAAGAACCTATGCCGAAACGTATAGTGGGGCAGTTAAGGCCAGGATGGCCGCCAGTTTGACTTAAATCTCTAACTATGTCAGCCCACGCTCAACATATCATAATTATCTTGTCATATTCAGTATTTTATTAAGGAATAGTCTTCATAGTGCTGTATGTAATTTACATCTAGCATGTAGCGCCCCCTGGTGATGACAAAAGTCCAAGATGGCCGTCAAATTTATATTTCTATAGAATGTTTCAAATGTTTGTATACAATGTCAGTATTATTTGTTCAGATCAGTTTAATTTAGGATTTAAAAAATTCCTTGTTACTGAATGTTCTAGCTATTAATACCAAAATGATTTTCCTTGTACATTTAAAGTATTACTTTTTGTTATTTATAAAATAATTAACACATGATTAACATGATGAATACAGTATTGATCAACGATATCATGTTCCACAATGTTTATTGTTTTATAGCTATGGATTTTAAAATATATTCTGTTAATACACATATGTGTATGGCCTTTTTAAATGAGATCAGCACTTTTGCAAGTAGTATTGGAATTTTCTCCTTTGAACAATCTAAGATGGCTGCTAGTAGCAGTCGATGCATTTTGGAGTGCATTCATGTGATATTTCGCCTGTGATATTTCATTAATGAGGCACCCAAAGGTTGAATGGGAGGGAACATCAAACAAAGTTCAACTGATGGAAGAAATAGGAAGATCATTGTCAAGCTGCCGTTCGTCTATACCAGTGTACCCCCATTATGTTTTACCAAGACGGATCATTATGTGCCGCCTTTGAAATGACCTTTTACTCAAGATGAACATTGTGTTAACACAATACTTGATTATGATAACTAGGTAATAATGATGTTTTTCTCTCATGGGCAGCATATAATGCGCTAACAGACCCTCCAACAACAATTGCGCTTATGCAACTGTTTTTAGGATGTGCACACTCTGTTGCTACGATACAACATTCAATGAATGTGGCAAAGAACGCTGTTGAGCAGTTACACCCAGGTCATCTACCTGTATGCAAATGCTAAAACAATCCAGTGGAATTTTCCGGAATCATATGATGATGCCAGTTTCCTTATATCAGGTTTAGTGAATTTGGTATTGAAATAGCTGCGTTCAGGATCCTCGGATTTGCCGGACAACTGCAATTTGCTTTGCTGGGTTTGCTGATTCCTTCATCAAGTGTACCCACCTTGCTAGAACAAGACATGTCCATCAGATCACATTCGCTACACTCTTCCTACTACAACAGGCATATGCTCACTATCAGGAAACAGAACCAAACAAAGAAGACCTTTTTACTTTTAGAAGTTGGTGTGATGCAAAGTCAGCTTCTCAATCCTAGTTTTAGTATTGGTCCTTTGTTCCTGAACTTGAACTTTGCATATTGTGCCTGGTGGGTGCAATTCGAAAAGCAGATTCCCCAGAGTATGTAGCATCACTTGTACCATGGGTCTTTATGTTAGATCATGTCATGTCTTCCTTATCAGTGGAACACTCAGCACTGTACCACACATTTTGTTCTGGTGGATTGGTAGAACATAAAACTAAACGACCATTCCCTGCCATGGTACTAGATCAGGCTCATGAAGAAATCAATGCTCTTGTGATTCAAGAATTCAATTCAATATGAGAGTTTTTTAAAAGAAAGGTTCATTGACAGATCAAAACCAATAAAGGAACAAATAAGAAAGAGCAAGCTGCCACTGTTTTTAAGATTGAAGACTCTTCGTCTTCCTTTCTCATTGTGCATCACTTGAGGGTGACTGTGCGCTCTGTTTACCAGGTTGTACATATCATGTCTACCAAGAGAAGGGGACTTTTTTTCGAGCATGAACATCAACCACGGCCTCATTTATTGACCAAGATGGGAGGAATTAGATTTCGTACAGACCTTCTTGAACAACTTGAACATATACAGGCGGAGCCACCAGATGCTACTCCAGAAGTTTTTGCAGTGATACTTGATGGCCCCATGATTGTGCAGATGCTTCATCCCAGAACATCCATAATCTTTCAAGTCGATATCCAGAATGTATTTCTGCCATACATGTTCCAGTATCTTGAACAACAGGACAGACTGGATATTCTTTGGGACACCTAAACGTACAGCCTTAAAGCATTCACCATAGCAAAAGGTGGCAAGGGTCTAAGAAGAATAGTCAAAGCATCATCACTTGTGCGAAGTAACTGAGAAAGCTTCATTCAGTTAATGAGAACAAAGATGACCTTTTGCACTGCATGCTGAACAGGTCTCTTCAATATAATTTGAAGGAAAACAAATTTACAGCACCCTTGAGACAAGAGTTGTAACCTCTCCTGAAACAGCTGACAGAAGAGTTCATGAAGAAGCCCACACTCGTCTTGTATTGCAATATCTGCTGCTTCACGTGGTGCGCTAAAAAGGTGCTGATTAGTACTACTTACACAGACGTTGTTGTCATAACGATAACAAACATTCAACAGATACCTTCAGAGTACGGATATCATTTGGCCTAGGCAAGCACAAAGGATATATAGCTGCACATTGAATTGGAACTACCCTCTTTCCATCAAATTGTACCAAGCCTGAGTGTCGGTTCCTTTGATCTTACCCGTGGTGTATGTGCTGGAAGACAGCAGTTTTGTGTTGAAGGCAGATTTCGTCTGCCATTGGCTCCTAAAAGCCACGCCCCACGGAAAGAGGACTGAACTCAACATTGTTCAGCATTGTACACAATTTATGTCAGTCAAGGTTTGCAACAAGGAAATGTAACTTCTACAGTTTTAATGGTTTCAAATGAATCTACAAGCTGAAATTGACCAACTCTTTTATTTATGACAACAAAATGCTGTAATAAAATGAAAAAGAATTAAACGTATACATGTACTTTATATGCACTTTGAAATTTACACAATAATGAAAGTTATAGCTCCAAAAATGTTTTCAGATTTAGATTAGACTAGTAGCTATTGTGAAAGTAAAGAAGTTGATGATCAATAAAGTTTTGTCATCTCCATTTCCAACTATATTTAATTAACAAAAAGACAAAGTCATCAATATCCCCCGCAATATCCCCCAACTTCACGATTTAGTGAAATTGTATACACGAATGAATAAGGTAACGTCTCTTACCTATTGATAAAACACCCCATTGTTAACCCATTTATGCATATAGGTACTTCAAGACAGCATTTTTCTCTTATTATTGAAGATAGAAACTTCCAGTATAGACCTAATGAAGCCGAGTAAGTTTAGTGGTTGAACCATTTACATTACTTGTAGAGTTTAAGTTCTTTAAGCATGGTCACTTCCGGTGGCAAGGCAGGTCCCCTGCCAATTCGGCGAAATGTGAGGTAAGATGATGTTTTTTATTGGTCCCTATTTTAACTATGTAAGTTCATTAGAAAGTGTTTAAAATGTTCAATGTTCAAATAGAAAAATACAATGAATATGGTTTGCATTTTTTCCATACTCAATTTTCACTCATCTGCATATTGTCCCATTTATTGGACGCACATTTGCAGTGTAAAAAAGTACATGTATGTAGAAATCTAAGACCCTATGCATAGATGGGTTAATTCAGTAACGTTAGGGCTTTTCAATAGCTGTTAGTTACGAAGCACTTAAATCGGTAAAGACGGGACGCGTGTCTGAACATGTTGACTACTTCACGGTTTAGTGATTTTGTACATATTTTGAAGTTACCAGCCCTGATGTCTGGCTGGACATTGGTTTTTGGCTTATTTCATACACTGACCATGATGAGACAGGGGTCAGGGAAAACGTCATCAATATGGAGTGTGACCACCCTGGGCTTCCATACACGCGAACACATGTTTCCTCATTAACGTCGTCAACCGGCGGATAACGTCAACGAGAATCCTGTTCGATAAATCCAAGAGAGTCTGTTTAAGTTCCTGTCAGTTCGCTGAAGGTGATACACTCTGTCTAAGCTGACTATCAAGATAATCCCAGAGATTCAAATCAGTTCATGTCTGGAGAACACGCTGGACAAGGCACTTCGTTGACGCTGTTGTCAAATCTGCAGGATGTAGCGGTCTTCGACCGGTGTCATGACTCTTGGTCTTCATGATCTTGTGCGGTCTTGGGTCCGGTCTGTTTGCTGGTAGCGGTTTATCTACCGGTATATGCTGGTGGTCGCCTTGCAGCAGTTGAAGGTTCTTGCCAACTGACGTTGTGAAACCCTCATATTGGCCATAATGATCGCCCTGTCTCCTTGCTCTTGCATAAGTCTTGGGATATTCGTCGTAGCTCTTTGGTTACTGCATGCTTGCTCTGTCCAACATTGGTATTTATGTCATGATCATGCAGGTACAGTTGTAGCAATGCCCCACAATTACGTCGTACGAAGTTTTCCAACAGCTGCATTGTTATTGGGACAATGTTTTGGCGAATGTTTTCTGCTTGGGTTCAAACCTGTACAATTAATACAATTTGTATACAATTAATTCAAAAGTGAAATAAAACTTTCTGTTGCGCGGTAGTTTAGTTTATAAACTGTATAAAGTCCTGTTGCC